GGGCTGGTGCTGCACTGCCGCGGGGTTACCGGGAAGAAGGATCGATTCCTGGCGCTCCCGTGGCGATAATTTTATTTCTACGTTCTCCTTCAAGGGCTTCACACTTAATGCATTACACAGCCAGGCTGTTAGTACAGAGGTGGCTTTTCATTTCGGGGCAGATCTGCAGAAGTGGCATCCCGCCTTCTGCAGAGGTAGCCGATCCCTTGCCCCCATTACTGGGATGGAGTGTGGGTCCTTGCTGAGGAATTCGGAAGGCAGCAGGGAGATCCCCGGGAGGTGTCCGGGTGGATTCAGCCCCGTGCGCTGGGACGAGCTTGCGCCGGCACCGTGCACTGCATGAACTCAAGACAGTTGTGCGGGCGCCTCTCAGGTTTCACAGCCTGTTTTTATCAATTTTATTTCCAAAGAAAGTGACTAACAAACTCTTCTTCAAAAACTGAAATCTGAAATCCTAGCAGATTTGTTTTCTCTCTCCTCCCAAGTAAGCAATTACCTCCACAGAGTCTAAAAGATGACTCTGCCTTAAACTTTGCTGCAGATGTAGCATTTCCATAACTCCGTTGCTCTTCTGATGACCCCTTTTGCTACCCTGTGAGTAATTTACCCTAAAGGGTGGATTCTGCCATGTAACGTGTCTACATGCAGGTCAGTGTAAATATCTCAAGAGAGGATTTGATAGGTGCAACTGCATCTTTCGTTAGCCTTCTGGGGGCTCAACTACCAAACCAATCTGAACATTAATTTAAATATGCAAATTTCAAAATTTCCCATAAGTATTTTCCATAAAAGTGGAAAATAGACATTGCCAGAAGTGTACCAGTGTTTAATTATTACCTTTAAAATATTTTTTCTGTATTTAAGTGTTTGACTCTATCCCAGATTGATTTGTTTCATCAGAATTCATATAAAATATGTCAGTAGAGCTAGAAGTGCCGAGCAGACTGCATATCTGCATGTTTTGGCTCTCAGAGACCGAGTGCCATATTCTGATGTTCTGGCTGAGAAGTCACAGCTGTTATTACCTGCAAAATGCTGTTGTGGTGAGCCGTGAGTTACATTTCAGTCTTTCGCGTGGGCTCTTGTGGGCCAAACAGGGCGAAGTACCCAGCCTTTCCGCTCCGCGCTCGGGATCACTGCCACAGTGGGAACCATGGTTGTAGCTCTCAGCTGAATGAAGGACCTCTAGTTTGACCAGATCCCCCTCAGATATTCTTGAACCCAAAAGGATTGTAGACTTAAGCTGTTGAAAATAGGCTATAGATCTATATTTCAACAATTTTGTGACATGGACGGAAGAAAAATCTCTTCAATATCCTTTTTTTTGGAACTTACATGAGTGTCCAAATTAATGGAAGCTACAGAAGGAGCAGTGGGAGCAGTGAGAATCCAGACTCCAGGTCTCGCTAAGGGAGCCGGGTTTGCCCTGTGGCTCTGGGCAGGGTCATGCGCCCACATCGCGCCATCCGAGCGCTCACAAGTCTGTGCCTGCCCGCGAGGCGCGGAAACGCACGGTGAGCGGGATGGCCCTGGCCTCCTGGTCAGCAGGAGGGGCTCAGGTCACCCTCTGGTAAATAACCCAACTGGTATTTAAATAATCCTTGCATATGGTTATTTGTTAGTCTTTTTTGGAAGGGAATAATATGTACGATGTTTTCAGATCAGTAGGTTTAAATGGGAGATTATCAAGAAACCCATTGTAACAGTTTTTGGAGTTTGGAGACATCATGGATTTAGGAACACTCAGGAAAATCCCAGTGTGTTGTTTCTGTGCCATAAGGGGCGTAGTTGACATACTTATGAGTATAATATTCAGGCTCTTTGCTAATGTGCTGTGCAAAAACTGAAAAGAAAAATTTGAAGCAGCTTTCACTCTGCCTTCAGGCTTGTTTTTTTGTGAGGCTTGTCTTTGTTATCTGTGCCAAAAAGGAAAGATGAGTCTTGTTTATATAATACATCTCCTGAGGAGCCAGCGAAGTGAGAATAAGGTTATGAATATCATATTGCTTACCTGGCTTTTTAGCATTTTAATTGATGCCCTCCAGGACACCATCAAAATTATTCTTAGGATAAACCCACTAGAAATTTCTTGTCTGAAAATGCTGGTGTCAGATTCTGAGTTTAACTGAAATGTGAGCATCAGCATTTGCATTTATCAAAAAAAGAAAAAAAAGTTAAAGAGTTTTCTGTTGAGGTGCATCTCTAAAGAGATAAACCTTACTTGAAAGTATTTGAGTAATTTCAATTTGAGAACTGCATATTTCTCGTTTTAAAACTTACCAATAATTTCTAGAGTCTTTTGCTAACAGATGACCTGTTTCACAAAATCTATATAATATTTTTGTATTATTCATTGTTATTTTCATGTTATTCATTTTAGAGATGATAAATTGATTTAAATATCCATTTGGAAGTAGGACTCCACTTGTATTTTCAAAAGGTGGTGTGGAGGTAAACATGCTTCAGACTACATTTGTCTTAGCTCACTATTGCATTCAAATTGCTGTTAAAAACATTTTCTTTTTCAGTGTTTGATCTCCTGTCTTACTCCAACAAGGGAATGGTAACCAGCTTTCTGCAGCAAGCACTCAGCGACCCTACGCTGAACGACGTGTACTTGCTCGCAACGTTCAACCTGCAGTCAAAGAGCACGGCCACCATATTTGGCCTGTATTCATCCACTAACAACAGCAAGTATTTTGAATTCACAGTAATGGGACGGGTGAATAAAGGTGAGTTGTGTGGGGTGGGTAAACTACTGCAGGATCCGTCGTTATTGGTGTGACCATTGAAAATGGCCAGCCTTTGTGCTTGAGTCATGCGTGTTGCGTGCTCTCGCCCTGGGCCTCTTCCCAAGATCCAGGTGTTGAGAGCATCCTCTCTCACTCTCCTTGATTTCCCTTCCCCAACTACATGCTGCTCTCCTGGCGGCCGAGCACATCCACAAGTCCGCGGGTATCCCGCTCTGCCATGCAGCCTGCTCTGAGGCATGCCAAGCAGGGAGAGACAGAAAGGAGGGTTGGAGGAAGCAGTCAAGTTGTTTTTCTTTGTTTTTTTCCCCTCTGGGACAATCACTGGTTCTTGTTACTGAGGAATGTGCAGGACACACGCACATACCACCTCATGCATATGAACAGCGGGTGCTTGTTCCCTCTTCCCTGGAGGTTAGATGTGACTGTGCAAGGCAAACATTCCTGGTGCTTACAGGATCTTTTGACCGAATTAATACACTTGTTCATTGCCTGTGGGAAGCACATCATTAACAGTGAAAGCAGAAACTTGAGCAGATTTTTAGAAGCTGAGACATTCATCGGCTCTCTCAGAGTCTCAGATCAGTCTCACATCTAGGATATGCTGCAGTACTAAGGTTCAGTGAAAAAGTGGTGAAAATTATTGTTGCTCCATTGACTTCACCGCTGATGAGATTGGCTTCTGCTGATGCTATAGTTAGGCAGCTGAGTCTAATATACTGAGAAATTCTATCAGTCTTGAAGTTCCTAAAATTTACCGACTTTATTGCTGCATAAATATTATATCACATGTTCTTCTCTCTCTCTCTCTCTCTCCCCCCCTCTCATGCCTAATGTCTGTATATACCATATGTAGATATGATGTAATTAGCAGACTTAAAAGGATTTTTGATACAAAGTGGCAAGGTACCAGGTACCAGTACAAAGTTGCAACAATTCATTTGTTTTTGTCCTCAGTGTGTTTGGCTGGGTTATACCTGAGAAGTGTCTGTGACAGGATTGAGCATACACATATATGTTTAGGTATATATATATGTGTATATATATATATATATATATATATATGTACATCTATAGGCAACATAAATAAATTTGTAGTGGTAGTGTCCTTTATACCTTGAGGAGATGGAAGACCCTTGTAATCTAACTGTTCTAAAGGTCTGATCAGAGAGAGAATTTTCTCAGCTTCTTCAGTTGTACTGTGGAGATCTCTTTGACGCCTTATTATTTTAGTGCACCTCGCTTAGGATGTATGACAGTGTGAGAGTAATAGGCAGCATTTCACAGTGTCTTCACACATGATTTCTGTGGAAGTCGTGTCCCATGTGGCTACTTCATGTGGTAAGTTAGATTGCATCCAGGAGGCCATTCCACGAGCTGAAGCCTGGAGCGTGGGGAGTGTCTGTGATCTGCTCAAGCCTGGATATCGTCGCTCAAGCCGTGAGCCTCTGTTTCAGAGAAATCTGAAATCAAAATATCTGGGCTTCTAGAATGGGGTGTGCATGCACACTGCTCCCTCTGTGTGCTATTTCCACTTATGCACCCAAATTCTGATCTCGGTAGACCAAAGCAGGCCTCAATTATCTTTTACAGTGCCATGTTTGAAAACTACATTCCAGGTGTTTTGCTCACATTCTGGTTTTGTTGTGGTGTAGTGGACTGTAAGTAGGCTAACAATAACTGAACATTTTACAGCAGGGTTTTTATATGAAAGTATTTTTGCCTTTGATTTGCTAAATCTATAATAAGGTCTTGCTGGGTCTAGAGAGGTGCACTGATTTATCTACACAATGCTAGGACTTTTGCCATTTTATCTAATCAATTTATATAAACTGGTTTAGCTCTTGCTTTCACCAGTTTGTGATAAATGTGTTTTATGAATGCAAGATAAATTGATATATGCTTCAGTTAAGATGTTTTAAATATATCTAAATTACTAGGCATTTGCTTAAGTTGTTTTGGTTAAACCAATGTACTTCACAGAGGCAAAGTCTCAAATAGGTCCAGAGATTTTTTTGTCCTTTTTGCTTCATACATTCTTAGAACAAATAGCAGCAAATACACAAAATTGATGTAACTGAGCAACTCTGTGAAGCAGTTCCTGTTTTACTGGATCAATAATTTAATGGAAAATCTGTAAAGCAGTGTCATTGCAGCATATTCTGGCAGTAGACAGATAATGTCAGGGCTTGAATGGGTTGGGTCTTACTGAAACCATGGTCCAGGAAAATGTCCCTTCAAAAGCCTCGTCTGCTTTAGCAGATGGATGTTTGGCTCTGGCTGAGTAAGGAATTCTTGATCTTCCTTCCAAGTCAGACTGCTCCTTATCCTGCAACTGTTCCGGCAGGTCGCCACTGGTCTGCTCTGGGCTCTGGGCTTCCTCCCCCCCTTCCTTCCTTCCTTCCTTCCTTCCTTCCTTCCTTCCTTCCTTCCTTCCTTCCTTCCTTCCTTCCTTCCTTCCTTCCTTCCTTCCTTCCT